TGCCGCAAGTGCTACGTGCAAAAATGCTGTGTAAACCCTGAGCGAACACTGAGCCAATGAATTCAAACTGTGCTTTCATCACCCAATGAGAAGCTGATACTCAGTTGTATCCCCCTAAAGTGTATAAAAAAACCCAACTTTGTCTGCTCTCGGTCGGCTCCTCTGTCTCCTGCGAGAGATAAGAGTCGACCTGGAGCTCCGCAATAAACCTCTTATCTCTTGCTGTTGCATCAAGCCGGTGTCTTGGAGTCTTGGGTCTTCGCCGTCCACTCGGGACAGAACAGGACCAGCGGTTCGGGGGTCCTTCAGTAACAAAAGTACTGCCAAAATAAACCCTTTTGTCCTTCAGAATCCTGCCTGTCAAAGCCACTACTTACCACTGAAAAGCATAACGACATTAAAAAAAAAATAAAATGTTGACATTGAGCAATTAGAGCTTTCTAGAATTCATCACTTTACCTGTCCCTGTCCTCTCCGGTAGAACCTTTCTCTTTCAAGGCTTTTCAAGACCTTTTGAAATGGTCTTGGTAATGCTGGCCTTTTGTCGTTAGCTTCTGGTCTCACTCTTAAAGGAGCAATTGGGCAGGAAGTGGTTGTGAAATAGAGGTGGCCACTGGGAGACTAGAGGGACTGGCCTGTGGTGAGCTCACGGACAGAGGCCTTTCTCTCACAGGAACATCTGGGTGCTTTAACGCCTCTCACTAACGTACAAATGTACACACCCAGCCTCTGAGGGAAATCTCCCGCCTGAACCAGTGAGGAAACAAACAGAGGCAATGTCAGAATCCGAGAAAGCTGTAGCAAATAGTCTACTTAGCCAGGTAAGGTTTGATTTGACTTTTAAGAAGCAACATCAGGGCTGTATTAGAAAAACAGTGTTTGAAGAAGGAAGAGCAAACGGGATATTGGAAGTCTGAGAGCTATTTCCCACTCCTGATCCCTGAGGTCTGTTGTTCATTCATTGCCATGGAGTCAGAACGGACACACAGGTTACCCTCCAGAGTTTTTCAGAGGAAGTAAATCACGCAGGAGGAGATTGCCTTTCTCTCATGGAGAATCTGGTGGATTTGAACTCCCTACCTTTCAGTTGGCTGCGTAGCTCCTTACCACTAGGCCACCGGAGCTCCCTCAGGTCTAAGGGAAGGGAATTCAGAGACTACTCCAGCCCCCTCCTGCGAGCAAAAGGAGCCAGGGAAGGAGGAGATGAGACCGGGCAGCCTGGAGGAACAGAATGAGGCCTCAGGGGTACAGGGAGCCCGGGGCAGGGAGCAGAGGCTGCAGAAGCCCCAGGGCCACAGCTGGTGCCTCTGGGGGTGCTCATGGGCTCTCTCATTAGAAGCATCTGGAGACCTTTGATCAGAAGCACTGAAGCACCTGGAGGTTCTCAGCCCAGCCCATGAGAAGGGTGTTTCTCAGAAGCTGGGGGGGGGGGGAGGTGCTTAGGAGAAAGCTGTGGATTAAACTGTGCCCCTCCCCAATATGTGCTGTAAATCATCACCCTTATCTTTTTTTTCTTTTGGTCACTCTTATTTCTGTGGTTAGGGAGCTCTGCTGGCCTACTTCAGAGGGACCTGCCTTGCCAACCCACAGGCCACACCCCCCTGGTGGTTTAAATTCACCAGCAATGAAGAGAGACATCTCCTCCCTCTCCTCCAGGGTGATTTATGGCCTTGGAAACCTGCTGACGGGTCAGCTATGAGTCAGTTCTCAGGCAGTGGTAATGAGAGTCAATACCTGTGGTCGGAACTCCTTTTGGGAATGGGGTTTCTTTGTTAACATTAGCTGAGGAAATCTTAGGAGTGATTCTGAGGCAATCCTTTTTGCGATCTAAACAGTTAATGGAAGTGGAGGGGAGGGGAGAAGAGACGTGCTAAGCCGTAAAAACTCAGAACCTCTCTGTCTTCAAGTTGCTCCTGAATCACAGTGACTCTGCCTTGGGTTTTTGAGGCTGTAAATTCCAACAGGAGAGAGTTCATCTTCTGAGAAGCAGATGGGTGGATGTGAATCTCCAGTCTTGGGGCTGGTAAGGACTCTAGCTCCGACCTAAACCACCAAAGCTCCCTTAGCAACCCATAGAGGCTCAACGGTGGCAAGGACCCTCCTGGGGGGTCAACAGAGGGAGAGAGCCTTCCCCTGGAGCGGGGCCCCTGTAACGCATCAGCTGTGAGTGCATTTCTGTTTGTTAAAAACATGCAGGTGTGAGAGAGACCTCCTCTGGAGCCGGGCACCTGTAACGCATCAGCTGTGAGTGCATTTCTGTTTGTTAAAAACATGCAGGTGTGACCCATGTGCTACTGCAGCACTATCGAGCTGAGGCAGGTGGAGGGGCGGGGGCACAGGTTCTTGAGCAGGGCCCACCCACCGTGAGGGTCCTCACCATCAGCGTGACGCTAAGCCGGGCTGCAGGGTCCCCGACACACTCTCTCTTTCCCTGCTCGCTTCCTGGCCCTGTGGCCTCCCCAGTCCTCTCCCAGGATGACAAGCGGGGATATTTGCTCCTGATTTTGCGTGCTCAGTGCTGCTTCCTCGTTTCCTGTCACGTCCGGGGCCTGCTCAGTGTCCGGCAGACTCCTCTCCTGGGGTCTGTCTTCTTGGTTGTGGCCAGGAGCTCAGGCGTGTCTTTCAGCCCCAGAGGGTTCCTCTTCTTGCACACGTGGAAGTGTGTGCATGAGACAGGAGACCCAGACAGGAACTGACAGGGTGTGAGGCGGGGGGTGGGGCTGGGGGGGGTGCATATGACCACCACACTATTTCTGATTTCATAATACCAGTAGCCCCTGCCTCTCTTCTGGGGTGCAGCTGGAACGTCCTCACCTGAATAGGTTTTGAGTAGGACAGGAGAGTTCTGAGCACTCCTGGGGTTTCCCTGCAGCCCCTCCTCTCTCTCTCACTCCACAGCCTCTAAGGTCCACCCTTGCTCCACCTTCTCCTCACCCCCACCCTGTTTCCTCCTCTCTCCCCTGATCCCATCCCACCCCCCTTTTATCTTTTCACCCTGCTCCTCAGTGCTCCCCTCCTTCCTGGTCACTTGACCTCCTCTCTCTCCATTCCTTCGATTGAGCACGGGAGGGTCACCTTCTCATTTGTGACACAGACAGGAAGCAGCTCTGGGGCAGTCACACAACCCCTGACCCCGCGGGACCATTTCTCCAGCGCAGATGTCCCCTACAGCAGCTCAGGACAATCTGACGTGCCGTCCACCTGTTTGTGGAGGGTCTCGCCGCCACCTGTGCCTTCTCTAGGCCCCTCTCTCCCTCGACCAGGACATGGACCAGCTCCCTGAGTAGATGGGATGGAGGAGCACTGGGACAAACAGCAGGTAGCTGGTTGGTCACCCCAGTGTTTTCTCTTTGCAGTCCAACTGACTTGCTGTCTGGGATCTCTTATGGGGACACAGCCTTCTGTCACTCTCAGCCACACCAGGGTCATGGCTCCCACCCCACACAGCAGAGCCCACTTGGGAGTTTCATTTTGGGTGGGGCAGTGCTCTCACCTGCATAATTATAATTTCCTACAGGTAAATATAGGTATATAGATATAGGTATAGATAGAAAGAGAGAGAGAGAGAGAGAAAGACAGAGAGACAGAACTAGGATGACTGTAGCCCTCCAACGTTCAACAACATGGACCCAAGATCACCAGCTTTAATCCTGAATACATAGGTGGCACTAGGACCTGGGAAACCTTCCCTGGTGTGTGTCCTCCCTGAGTTTCCAGTCAAAATGCAGGTTCCTGGGGCTCACCCTTCCCTCTGTGACCCCCACTCCCACATCTGGTGCGTGACAGCATCACAGACCTTCCCATGTGGCTCTGGTCTCTAAGGATGAAATAGACATGTGTCCATCGTAGAGGAGCCCTGCCTGGTCATCCTGACCCCAAGCAGGGGGTTCAATGACCCCCCAGGACTAGATCCCCTCTGACATGTCCACAGTGCACACACTCAAAAGAGCCTTCTAAGACCGAGACATAATAGGCCCTTAAAGACTCAACCACACGCTCACTTACCTGGGACAACTGACACTCTAACCTGGACTGCAAGGTCAGATCCACTTTTCTCAATCCCACACCAGTAAACATCTGCATCATCTTCCCTGAGCTGCTCCATGGTCACGGTGAATATTCGGTTTTTCTGATTGTCCTTGATGGACACACGGTCCTTCTTCACCTCCTGCTCTGATCCTGTGGTTCTAACAACGAATTTGCAGCTACTCCAAACAGCGCCTCGACACCACCACTTGACGTAGGTCTCCCATCCGGAGTTGTAATGACACTGCACGGTCAAGGAGCCTCCCTCATAGCCACTCACTGCACTGGGACCCCGCAGGGTGAAGCAGCCTGGAAAACACAAACCCGGGTCTCTGTCACCTCCCAGCTTGAGGAGAGGTCCACAGCCTCCCACAGTGGGAACAGCTCCCGAATCCTACTGCCGGAGGACTCAACAGTCAAGACAGAACTTTTTGGGGGGATGGGGGTGGGGGGTGTTGTCTAGAAAAGACTATTACATGTCGGATGAACAGCAACAAGGTCTGTATAGAACAATCTCTTACATTACTGAAAAGCTCCCACTACAGTTCCCAGTGTAGATATTACTGGGATAATTTTTTTTTTAGTTGTCATCTAAAAAAACCTACATCAAACCAAAACAAAACAAAATTAAAACCACTGCACAGCTGTTAGACACAACTAAATCTTCACTTTATTAGTGAACTAGATTTCTCTGCTTCTTAGAAACAAAGGTCTGGAGTTTTGTTGTTTTTTTTGGGTTTGTTGTTTTTTTTTTCTTCCCAAAAGCAGGGTAACAATGTCAGACAGCACTGTATATACTAACACAGCATGGCAGAACTTCAGTCTTTTGGAATTAAGCTGGTTAGACCACCACTAAGTCACTGAAAAGCTGGGAAAATGGTGCCATTGAGCAGTAATCACTTCCAGTAATTCTCTGCTCCTCCCATTCTATGCTCATTATAATCTCTCTTTTAGGAGATGTTTTTGCAGCCATCTTTGTGTTATGCTAGTTTTTTGCTATGCAGTTAATTCAATCACTGTCTTGAAGTCTGAACCAACTCAGAGCTGATCCTCTGGTAAAGTCCTTGGGTGGAGATTGACTATCTTTTTCCTGCAGACCAGCTGAGGGATTTGAACCACCAGCCTTTGTGTTGGCAGTTGAACTCCTTACCCACTAGGCCACCAGAGCTCTCTATAGTCTTTGTTCTTAGATACCATCAAGTCAATTTGGAGGATTGTCAGGTAAAAGAGTTAAGGTACTGACTACTCTTCTCTTAAGGAAATGGACCTTCTGTTATTTCCTCCCCACAGTCCAGTCTGTTGTGGGAGAAGGATAGGCAATCTCTTCCCATGAGATTGATTGTCTCTGAAAACTTGCTGGAGTGTCAGCTATAGGTCAGTTTCAACTCCACAACACACAACTACAAGAAGTCCAGTATATAAATGAGCCCAGGTAGCATAAGTTAAGCATGGTTTGAAGTAGGCGCACTGTAGACTTCAAACTAACATCATTGCTCCTCTGTGCTTTGGAGAGGTGCTTTACAGCAGGCCACCCAGTGTAATATGGGGCTTCGGTCCCCTGAGTGCTGGTGCCAAGAGTGTTGACTGTGAATCCAAGTAACACGAAGTGCTTGACAAGTTCAGCCTTTTCTGCATCTATCATGATGCTGCCTATTGGCCTGGTGGTGAAGATTTTTATCTTCTTGACGTTGAGATATAAACCCTGTTTAAGGCGGGAGTCTATGGTCTTCTGCAGCAAGCGTTTCCAGTCCCCCTTCACTTTCAGTGAGCAAGGTCAGCGTGTCATCACCCCTATTGCTTCCTCCTGCTCACAACTGGAGCTAAAAGTCCACAAACTACCCCAAAGCCTGAGCCACTCATAACCAAGTTGGGTCTGAGCTGAAGTCCAAGTATCTCTGTACCTTCAAGGTCTGGCAAGATTGGATTCACTCATTAGTCCACGCATACGCTCTTTTATTCATTTCTGTAGAATAGTCATAGTTGAGAAACACTGTCTTCAGGAAGTGATTTTGTTCGGTTGAGCTTATTTCCCCAACACACAACATAGAACATGCTAGAAAACGGAAACCTGGTTTTCATGCATCAGTGAACTGATCCCCCCAGGACAGATCCTCTCTGTTCCTGTCTCTCCCCAGGCATGCAAGTTCCAGAAGCCCCAGCCCTACTCACCTGGGAGGATGAGAAGGACCAGGGCCAGGGGCAGCCACATGTCCTGCCTCTTCTCAGTGGCCAGAAGTACCAAGCGGTCTTCCGACACTTGAAGCTTAGAAGGAGATGCTTTGAGTCTGCCTAACATCCTTTGAGTTGCTTTCATTTATCTTCTAGTATTGCTACAACTACTTCCCCATTTTCTATATAAGGAGAAGTGGAGCATCACTATTTGAGAGATTACAGTGGGTGATGGGATTGGCTCACACCTTCCACGCAGGCCCTGCTGGGTCAGACGGGCATCAGTGTGGAGCTGGAAGGCCGGAAGTAGAACTACAGGGAGAAGGTTCAAGGTCCTGATGAGGTGGTGCTGGCTTTGCCCATATTTAATGAGAAGGCACAGTGTTGGGTCACCTCCACCCAATGGAGAAACACAGTGCCTCTGACGTCCTCCCCAGGAGACACCAAAGCGTCCTCCATGCTGCCAACATGGCTGCCGTCCCTCCTCCCTGCTCATGAGCAGCCCCTTTCAGCAGGACCTTCCTCTGAGGTCGTGGGTCACCTGGAGCTGAGGCCCATGCTGAGGCCGTGATAAGGTAGAAGTGGTGGTTCCTCTTTAACCTCCTTTTGTCCTCATTGCTTCTTCTTTGCATAGTATTCCGTGGTCCCCTCTGTGTGAGTTCATTCCATGAAAGGCTGGTTCCAACGGCCTCCTGAGTGCCTTTCCCATACCCCCCTCCTCCTTCAGGAGGCCCCTCCTCTGTCACCTGCCCTCTCTGCCTCTCCTCTCTGACTTCTGTTGAGTCTCTTCTTTGCTCTTGTCCCCTCACTTCTGGAACCTCCCTGCCTCTGTCTTCAATGCCTTTCTATCAGCCCTTCTCTCCAGGATTCAAGATCTTCCAGAGAGGTTTCGTAAGACCTGCCTGCCTACTTACAAAAACCCAGCCACAGGAAACATTATTTGACCCTACGGCAGTTACTGTAAAGCATACTCCTTTCTGAGTCTCTCACTGAATTAAAAGTCCCGGCAGAATGGAACAACAATTTGAAGGCTTTGTAAAATGAGGCAAGCAGGAAGACAGGAGAAGGCACCAGAATGTTCAGAACACCAAGCAGGTCTGATGCTTCCAGGCTTTGTTTCCTTCCATATCTCCTGCCTGGACTTAAACCCTGCAGCCCACATTCCCAAGACATAGGTAGGACAGAAGCAGGAAGTGCTAACGACTCTCTGGAGGCTGAGGGGGTCAGGGCCTGGGGGTGGAGGGTGAGTTGGATGAGGAAGTGTTCAGGAGTGTTCGAGGCTGTTTTCTCATCTCCCACACAGCCTGCAGCAAATCTCAGTCCAGAGCGACTGGGACTGGGCGGCATCTGCTGCGACCCACTGCTCTGAGGGAGAAAGTTCTCTGACCTGAGGAGCCAAATGCCATTGTCTTTCTTTATTCTTCTTTCCTGTAGCCCTAGAAGCCCACCAGACACAGGAGAGAGAAGCTCCAGCTTCTTAGCCAATGGACAAGAAAAGGGGTCCCTGGAAGCTGGAACAGGGTGCCAGGGAAACTGGGGAAAGGATTCAGGAAGTCACAGGCTCACTCTCAAGCTGTGGGGTGCACAGGTTACCCCTAAAAGAGATGCTGTGTGGAGGATCAGCTGTCAGACTGTAGACAGGCCACTAGGTGGCATGCAGATCTGAAAAGTGAAGCACAAGTCTGATAAACAGAACTTTTCATTGGAACTTCTTGTACTGCCAAAACAAAGATAGGTGGTTCAAATTCCCCAGCTCTGCAGGAGAAAGACAGACATCCCCTCCCATGTATTAACCATCTCTGAAAACCCTAGAAGGTCAGCTATGGGTCGGTTCTGACTCAATGACACACAGAAACACTGCAATCTCAGTTTGCAGAAACTGGACCTCACTGGAGGGCTGAGCCTGCCTGCCGGTAAAGACATTTAATTCCCAGTGAAAGGACATTGGGAGGAGGGGAGGCTGAGGGGATTTTTGTTTGTGGTGGTGATGACATGAATCTGTGCACATGCTAAAACTCACAGAGATATAAACCATAAAAGAGCAAATGTACCTAAAATTTGAAAAAAAGAAAAACAGCAACAACATTTCAAATTGTGTTCTTTAAATATGGGCTGCTTACTTTACTCCCGTTATGTCTTAGTGAAACTGTTAGGGAAGGAAGGGAGGAAGGCTGGGAAGTAGGGAGAGAGAGAAGGAGAAAGGGAGAAAGCAGGGGTGCTTCCCCCAGCCCTTTCCCTTCGCTTTAAGGATTCCCGGCTGGTAGCAGAAGTATCATATCCTCAAATATCGTCTTCCTGGGGCAGTAGGGACAGAAGGCAACCATAGGAGGCCCCAGCACCACTCCCTCCATGGAGCTGTCCTACCTTCTCCTCTCCTGAAAAGGCCTTTGATGCTCCCTCTTCACCTCTGCAGACCTTTACAAGGATGGCAGGTGGCAGAAGGGAAGGACCAGGCTGAGTTTTCCATTTCACAAGATCTCAGCAACTTGGATTGACTTGATGGCAACTAACAACAACCATAATAGATGTTTCATCTCTGTGAGGTTATATAATATTTTTCCTTCTGTGTCTAACTTACTTCATTTAGCTTATCACTTTTAGGGTTCATCCATGTTAGCATGTATCAGAACTTCATCCCTTTTTATGGCTGTATACTATTCCACTGTAAGGAGACACATTTTCACTGTATCCTTTGGTTGTTGATGAACATTTGACTAGTTTCCACTTTTTTTGCCATTGTGACTAATGCTGCAATAAACACTGGTATACAATTACCAATTTAAATCTCTAGTTTCAATGTATTGAGATTTGTGGTATTGCTGATTCATGTAATAATTCTGTATTTAACATTTTGAGAAACTGACAAACTGTCTTCTGCCATGAGTGCACCATTTTACAGTCCTATCATCAATGTACAACGATTCTAATTTATCCATGTCTTGCACATCAGAGATGATATTACGTCATTTAAAGTCAAGCAATTCCATGTACAACAAAACAAAGCATCATCAGGGCCTGTGCATCCTTAAGATCATTGCTACGTTTCAGTGCATTGCTGTGGCCACCGTGTGTCAGTCCATCTTATTCTGAGTCTTCCTCTTTTTCACGGACCTCATCAAGTAAGATGTCCTTCTCCAGAACCTCATCGAAGCCCTGTCAGAGAGTCAGAAACATAGGTGACCTTCCAGTAGGTTTTTAGAGGTTAGAAAACCTAAGACTGGGGGAGCTCTGGTGGCCTAGTGGCAAGGAGCTGCAACTACAATCCCAGAGGCGAACGGTTCAAATCCACCAGATGCTCTGCCGGGGAAGGAGGGACAATCTCCCCCTGTACCAGTCAGATCTGATTTGACGGTACACACACACACA